TACTGTGTTTAAAAACAGGAAGATTCAACATCCCAAAGATATAAGTAGTAAAAGATATAAATTGATCTACAAGTTTGATACACTTCCAGTGGAATTCCAGCAGAGCTTTTCATGAAGCTTGGCAAGCTGAGTCTAAAGTTTATGTAGACTAACCAAGGGCCAAGAATGTCCAAGACATTTCTGAATATAAACAAGAAGAACAGGGTAGGAAGAAACTCGCTCACATATCAGAACATTATAATGCCATAGCTCAAACTAATTACTAATGGAGCGGGGGGGATGTAAATTAAAACCACAGTGATTTAATACTTGCAGATGGCAAAACATAAAAATTGATATTACTAAATGATAATGAGGATAAAGAGCAATGGGAACACTTAAACATTACTGCTGGTGAAGGGATGATAATATAGTACAGTCCCTAAGGAAAATAATTTGACAGTATCTAGTTAGGTTAAAGATACCACATCTTTGACCCAGAAATCCTACCCTCTGACACATGTCCACTAGGTAACATGGAAAATGATGTTAATAGGAGCAGTTTTATAATAGCATACAATAAGATATAATACAAATGTCTATCAACAGCATAATGGACAAAAATAATCATGGCATGTCAATTCAGTGGCATATGATACAGAGTAAAAATAAAGGTACTACAATGTGGATTAAATTCACAGATAGGATCTTAAGTGAAAAAGGCAATTTGCCTAGAATAGATATGAGATTTATCTAAAAAAATTAAAACTGAGAACTCTGTATTATTTAAGGATATTGGATACATAGTAAAATCAGAAGTGATTTTAATGAAAATGAAAAGATCAGCAAGCAAATGATATACATAAAAGTCAGGGTGGTAGTGGTGACCTCTAGACAATGGACAGGAGGACACTAACTGGAAGAGCACACAGGCTTCACATTGGTTCTGTTCTAATTATTAAATTGGTGGAGGCTACAGGGTGTTTTTATTCTCATGCTTTATAACTTGCATCTATGTCACATTATTTTATATGTGTCAAGGGTTTCCTAACTTGAAAATAAAAGTAATCATTGGCTCCATCTGTATTCTTTTTGCCAGACCATTATTAGCTGTTCTTATTAAGTGACAATTAAGTTTTTCCCACCAATTTGCTTAACTTACATTGCTTCTTTTCCCTTATATATATCTTCGGATTCCTCATCAAGTTATTGATAATGGAAATGTTCCCTTTGGAACTGGTTCAAGTCTCACCTCAAGTATCTATGACCTTCCTAGATTTTAATGTTATGGTCTTTAACATTAGGATAGTAGTTCCTAGCTCACAAAGCTGCAAAGTTGTTGCAAAGATTATACATATACATACATACATATATGTGTGAGTATGTGTGTGTAATTAAACAGATGTCAGTGATTATCTTTTCATTCAGATTTTTTTTCACCAAACATACAGAACATCTATTGTGTTATAAATGCCCTAGGAGGTAAAAAATGAATAAGATATAATGCCTCTTCTCAAGGAGCTAGATACACAACTAGACGATACCACCATAAGGGATGTAATTGTGGAATATAAACAGTGTTAAAAAATGTCATAGAAGAAAGGAATTGGTTGTGTAAATCCTGTTCAAAGAGCTGGTGGTATATAGAATGAGCTTTCAATGATTTATTCAGGTGGTTCTCATGTATGCAAAATTCCTCTTCATCTTGCCCACTTCCTACTAAACACTCCAAGTATTGTGGATGAGTCACCATGCCCCATAAAGAATGGATTGTTGCTATAAAAGACTCATCCATCCCATACCTTAGCCTCTCTCACTCCCTTCCATCCAGGGAAGCCATCACTGTTGTCTGTTGGTAGACAGAATAAACAGATTCCATTTTACCCTTGTCTAGACTTGGGCAAAATAGAACCCTAAAAATGCCACATAAATGTTTTTTTGGAATGTTATGTCTCCATGAATCATCTGGCTTAATTAGACTGGTCATTTTGATTCGACTAAGAGAACCAATATCTGACAAATTTACTGACCCAAAGAGAAACTTCTGGGAAAAAGCTAATACTTACTGGACACCAGCTCCAGTAAGCCACAATGCTAATTTTTCTATTCCTGAATGATGCAATCATCACCGCAGTTTTAGAAGAATCTTAAAACTTTCTAGTTTATTAAAATCTTTGGAGACAATGGTTTTAAGCTTTCAGCATAATGTAAGCTATCTTTTATAACGGGGCATTAATAGAGACAAGAAAAAGACCTGTGTGCAGCTTCTCCAGAGATTGTTCTTGAAAGCTTAGTTTGCCGGTAGAATTTTTAAAAGAGATGTGTCTATTTTCTTGTCTTCTAGAATGATTCATTTAAAACATTAATTTAACCATACTTATCCCTCCTCTTAATCCTCTCATGGCCTCTTAGAAAAAAAGTTCTAAAGTTCTTTCTGTGGTTTACCTAACCACTACATATGGTCCAGCCACACTGGGCTTCTTGTCTGTCCTTGAACTTACCAAGCATGTTCCCAAAGGCTAAGGGCTATGCACTAGCTCTTCCTCTGTCATAATCATTCTTGCTTAGATTTTTACTGATTTCAGCTTTCTTAGTTTACTCAGATATCTGTTCAAATTTGCTCAAATGTTACCTCTTCAAAGACGTGTTTCCTGATCACCCTATTTAAAATACAATTCTGATTGCTTTTTGTACCTAACTCTGCTATATGTTTCTTCATAGCATATGTCACTATCTGACATTATTATGTATGATACTACATTTTTATGCTTGTTCTCTTTCTGTCAAATATAAACTCTAAGAGGACTGGTGCTTTGTCTGAATCCTGGTATATAGTAGCATTCAATAAATATTTATTAAATGAATAAAGGAAGGAACTTACCCTTCTGTTGCCTAGAAGGGATAGGGCTAAAAAAAAAGAGACTGAGGCTTTGTGGTGATATCCATGGTGGTTTAAGACAGTAGTGTGAATTTTTATAGAAAATACACAGAACTTCATATCAGACAATCTGAGGCCTTCTATATTAGGCACATGACTAGATAGATCTAAGTGCTAATTTCCTCCGACCAAATAGATTAAAGTTGATAAAATCAAAAGAGATGAAGAAAGTGGTAACTTTTCATAAATCTTGAAATCTTAGTATAATTGCCATCTCTTGGGGCCAACAGGCAAATATCACAAAAGCAAAACCAACTAATTAAAATTTATCACTTTCAGAGCTGGAAAAACTCTCCTAAACATCTAATGAATTTCCAGTCGTCCTAAAAAGGAAAGAAATGCAATGGAAAAAAAAAGCAAGTTGAAAAGCTGTTATAAAACAACAAAATATAATATTTCTACATATACGTGCATTAAAAATGTAATTATAAACATTGCTTTCTTGTGTCTTATATTTTAGTCTTTATAAAATTAGCTAGGATTTTCATATTGGTTCTTTCTCTGAGGAATAAGTAGATATGCTTAATCTCAGCTGGTTACAAATTTTAATTTCATAATATCCCCAGCCATCTCTTAGGATAGAATCATTGTGAGTCATTCTGTAGAGATAAAAGAAATCAGTAAAAGCCCAGTTCAAATTAGGCCGTTTAAATTCCCTTTTTCTAATAAGGAAATCCTTGCTGTTGACTGGTAAATACTAAAAAGGATTGGTAAAAAGGTAAATTTCTAAGAGATTTATTTAAGGTAAAACAAAGATTTTAAACGTCAATAGTTGAATAAATAAATGAGGGCTAGATTTTATAATTTACTGACTCTTACTTTTTTAGGTAAGGACCTATTTTGATATGTTAACCTTATTTACTTAGGTTTTTAGCCAAGATTATTGCTATATTATTGAGATAGTATGTGTAATGAAGCTATTAAAATGTGTATGTTGAAGTCCAGGTATAATTTGTCTGTTTGCTTGAGGGAGGGGGAGGGCAGTTTTATTAAAATAATATCTGTATGTATTGGAGCTGAAAAGCATGCACTAAATAACTCCTGTGGAAGGAAACCCTCTGTTTGTTTTGCAGGGCAGGGCATCAGTCATATACACTGCCTCGATTCAATGAGTGCGTCTTGTGTTGTTCCAGCCTTCTTTCCTGTCTCTATTCTGTGCACAGAGTTCATTGAATAGAGTCTCAGAAAAGTGGAGGGACCTATTTTGAAAAGAGAGGAGGGAGAGTTCCTAATTGTCAGTCAGGGTCGAGCTCAGGTGCATCCTCCTAATGACATCTTCCTAACCACCTTCTTCCTCATGTCCCAGAGTAGATATTTTCTGGCCCTCTGAGTATATGCTTTGTATTGCATGATATAATATTAATCATGTATGTGTAAGTATTCCCAACACCTTGAGCTTCCCTTAGTCAACTCTGTATCTAAGCCTAGCACAGAGTCTGGCCTGTAGTGGGTACTGACTGAGTAAATATTATTATTCAGAATAAAGAAGTTAATTCAGGTGCTATAGACCTCTCACCTCCCTGAGAGGAACTGAACATGTACAGAGCCCAGCCAAGGTTGAGATGGGACGACCTGGCTTTTTCTTTGGACTGTCAGAATCTAGAGGGTGCAGACATTGTGCATAGTGGTTTTTAAAGATTTCCAGAGTTTTAAACCCCATTTCTTCTCAACAACCCCCCTTCTTTCCCAAAATCTCAATTCTGCTATTATTTTTTCTCCTGTGAGAGAGCTTTACATCTATTACTTCCCGCTTCTCTCCTCTTTCCAATGAATATCACCATTGATTTGAAAATTATTTCAGTCCTGCTTGTCCTGAGTCTCACATGTGTTTTTATGGCCTCCCCTTGCTAAACCATTCTCGTCCTCTAGGGTCGTGGCTGTAGAGGTGTGTGCGTGGAAGTTAGATTTACACCTGTCCCTACAATAGAATAAACAAGAGGGTGTGTGTGTGTGTGTGTGTGTGTGTGTGTGTAGTGTGAAAAAAAGGGGTGGGGGTGTAGAAAAAAGATTGGGGACGTTAGAGGGAGACTTAAAGAGGAATATGTTTTAGGTCTCTGAAAATTTCTTTGATGTTCTCTTCTAGGTCGACTTTGGCTTTGCTAAGAAAATAGGATCTGGACAGAAAACATGGACATTCTGTGGAACTCCAGAGTATGTAGCTCCTGAAGTCATTCTCAACAAAGGACATGACTTCAGTGTGGATTTTTGGTCCCTGGGAATTCTAGTGTATGAGCTCCTAACGGGCAAGTAAGTGCCTCCAAGTTGTGTTCACCCTCTTCTTCAGAGAAGTGCAAGAATAACTTCCTAATGACAAATATATGTATAGGAGGTTAACGTGTTGGAAATGTTTCTGCTTAAGTATGATGCCTTTTCCTGTTTACATCATCTCACATATAGTATGCTTGCTAGTTTATACTGTGAAAAAAAGATTCAGGAAGGTAAAGGAGAGCAGTACAGAATGCTGTGGTTCACCTAAAAGGGCAAAGCCCTGTTATTATAGATGACATATTAGTGTGTGAAAGTTTTGATAATCCAACGTAAGAATAAGAAAAGGAATTGAAGTTATAGGCTGTTATCGTTTCCTGTTACATATTTTTTTTTGTAATTGAGAAAATAGCAATCATAGTTCAATTAAATTAATTGATCAATTAAACTAAATTTAGCCATGGTCTTCTATCTTCCCAATATAAATCATTAACTAGAAATGCTAAGAGAAAACAACATTGCTGGATTTAAATTCTATTCCCCTCGTCAACTGCTTTCTGGTGGTGCTAATGAACAGAGACAAGACACAGCAGGGGTTTTAGCAGTTAAAATTGAATTGTCATTCACAATGAGATTAAAGGGCTATAGTAATGAATCCGAGATCCCAAATATTCCATATGCACGTGCATACACACACATTTATATGCATACGTATGCATACACATACATACATAGGCTATATGTAGTATTAACTCACATTTGTAAAGCATTTTACAATTTACAGAGCACTTACATGTGTCTTATCTAGTTTAGTGACCACAAACTTGTGTGGAAGTTAAAGCAGGAATTTTTATTTTTTATGATTATTTTATGATTTAAATTTAAATTTTATAGATTAGAAAACCAGGGCATTGAGGTACTGCCCAAGATCAAGGATATGATCCCAGATCTTCTAACTCTAAATGTGACGAGATCTATTTTCCATTACACATATGTACCATTTAGTATAACGCATGCACACACATACAGGATTCAGATCAGTTTTCTTTTCCATTTGTACCTCCATTTCTCATGAACTGATTTGATTAACCTTATAAACCTTTATAACTGATATTTTTTAGTCTTAATTTCAGGGAGGATTTGCCTTTGGAATGGCATAAAAAATACTGAATGAGCCCATTGATGGGAACTCAAGTCTTAACACATACTTTACATAAAAAAAATTTCATAGAATCTTCTTGAACTTTTTACACTACAAATTTTAATGTTAAATTACCTGTGGCTACATCTACTTTCTGTCTACGTTTATTGAGCAAACAGATATGAAAGATTATATTATCTGTTATCAGTTTCGAATAGTAATTGCCTAAGATTTTGAAGGAAAGAAGGGAAAAATTTCCAGTTATTTAGAGAGAATGTTGCTTAAGGTCTTAAGACACATGGAATTCTGTTTCAAGAATTTATTTCTAAGAGACACATGATGGTTCCTCTAGGTAACTGGAGAATATACGTTTCAGTCTTCACCAGCTGAGGTAAATTGTTACAAGGGATAGGGAAATAAAATGAGGAAATAAGGAAGGGGTGGATCCCAATAACTTGGAGTTGCTAAGGTGATTTGAGCTGTCATAAAAAAGTTGGAAAATTGTTTTCAGAGTAGAGCACAAGAAAAATTAATTTTAAATGCCCTGAACTCTAGAGTCAGGGAGTAAATGAAAGTGAGAAAAGAACTAAAGAACAAAACCAAAACAAAATACAATATAGTTATAAATATATAAATGAGTTGAAAATATTATAGCAATGTTTTTGTTTCCTACTTCATTTTCTTTACAAGTGAAATATAGATTATGGAAAAGTCAGTGCACTGACCTTATTTCAAGTTTACTACCAAGAGTGGGAATTCTTAATATCAAAAGCTCTCAAGCATGATCGAGAAACAGAGTAATAGTTCATGAAAGTCATCTTTAATTTTCAAATATTAAATGACACAATAGAATAGATATTGAAATGTTTTTAAAAGCAAAATATATGCATGAAAATATCTGAATTCAGTGGTCAATTCCCAGTATTTTCTTACTCATCTTAGCAACGCTTTCCTTCAAATACTCTCTTCACAGGACTGCTCTTTCTCTCGTTTCTTTTACTGCATTGGTGGCCCTATCTCAGTCTCCATTGCCGGGTTCTACTCATTATCCTGACCTCTCAATATTGGGCCACTCAATCTTTGATCTCTTTTCCATCTACTCACTCTCTGGGTGATATCATCAAGTTCCATAGTCATAAATACTGTCTGACAACTCCTCAGAATCATACCTCCAACCTCTTCCCCAATGTCAGACTCCTAAATTCAATTGCCTGTTTAACATCTCTGTTTCATGTTCAAAATATAACTCTTGATTCTCTTCCCCATAACCTGCTCTGCACCTCTGCATCCTTACCCACACTCCAGTCTTTCTTCTCTTAGTAAATGTTAGCTCCATTCCATGGGTCAAAACACTTGATCATCATTCTTGAATCTACCATACACCACATTTACCTCATTCACCTCATTAGCAAATCCTGTTGGCTTTACCATCTAAATAGATCCAGAGTCCAGCCACGTCTCAACACTTTCACCACTATCATCCTAGTCCAGGCCTTTCTTCCACCACTATCTCTATCACAGTTTATGCTCCATACATTAAAAAAAGCTTACTCTGGCTGCTGTAAATTAGATCATTTAACTCACAACATATTCCCAGGTCATTACCATAGCCTACTAGATCTATGTGATGTTTTGCTCATCTCTTACATCTCTCTCTCCTGTTTACTCATTCCAGCAGCAACACTGCCCTGCCTCCTCACTGCTCCAAGAACAAATCATGCTCGTTCCTGACTTATGGCCTTTGTACTTGCTTGAAATCCTCTGACCACAGATAAAGATGTGGTTTATTCACTTCTCTTCATTCATACCTCTGCTTGACTGTCAACTTATGAGAGAGCCTTTTTGTATTCACTCTGTCTAAAAAAAAAAAATTACACCTCTCTGTCAATTTCTATCCCCTACTTTATTTTTCATTTTACTGACCACCTGACAAATTACTTGTATGTGTATGTGTGTAATTTCTTAAATGATGTGAAATTAATGAAATGATTTTCTCTCATGTATCCAGATTTGTTATAAAACAACTAATGAGAGAGAGAAGGAGAGGAGGAGGGAAGGGGGAACGGAAGGAGAAGGGAGAGAGGAAGGGAGGAAGCAAGGGAAGGAAGAACTTAGTTGTGAATGTGTCTCAGATGCTGTCCTAGTGTCCTATTTTGTGTTTTCTCTAGCCCACCTTTTTCTGGGGCTGACCAAATGATGACCTACAATTTGATTCTCAAAGGAATTGAAAAAATGGATTTTCCCAGGAAGATAACAAGACGACCTGAAGATTTGATTCGGAGGCTTTGTAGGTGAGAATGACAATTAGAAACTCCTTGTTCTTAGGGAAACTGTGAAGGCTGCTTATTTCTGTTTCCACACATTTTAAATTGGATATATGTTTACATTTTATACTTTTCTATGTAGCTAAGTTATATTCAGAGAAAATTATTTTCTGTTTTGCAGTCTATGCTGGGAGTTTGAGTTTGCCTTATGTAACAGAACGACAGTACTTACAGTATAAAAGAGATCTAAATTTTCAGGTTATCTTCAGGAATCACCTTTATCTGTTATAGAGCAAAACAGAACCACAAACCCTAGCTTAATAAAAGAGTAATTAATTTACAACTTTGTTATTTTGAGAGAAAATCAGTGGTGATGATAAAGTGTTACAATATGCCCTCTTTTAATCATTTTTTTTAAAATAAAAATACTCCTGGCCTTATTTTATTTTATTTTATTTTATTATTTTTATTGATATATAATTGACATATAACATTATATTAGTTCCACATGTACAATGCAATGATTCAATATTTGTATACACTACAAAATGATTACCACAATAAGTTTCATTACTATCCAACACCATACAAAGTTACAAAAAAACTTTTTCTTGTGATGAGAACTTTTAAGATTTACTCTCTTGGCATGGTGAGTATAGTTATTTACTATGCTTGCCATCCTGTACATTATGTCACCATGACTGATTTATTTTATCTCTGGAAGTTTAGACCTCTTGACCCCCTTCACCTATTTTGTCCATCCCCGTCTCCCTCCCTCCTGGCAACCACTATTCTGTTCTCTGAATCTGTGAGTTTTATTTTGTTTTGTTTGTTCATTTATTGTCTTTTTAGATTCCACATATGTGACATTGTACGATATTTGTCTTACTCTGTCAGACTTATTTTGCTTAACATAATACCCCTGAGGTCTATCCATGTTGTCACAAATGTCAAGGTTTCATTATTTTTTTATGGCTCAGTAGTGTTCAATAT